CCTGTTGTGTACAGCTGTGTGTAGTGATTCCCGATAGCAGCACAAGACATGAATTGGTTAATATTGTTGAGCTGTAAGCCGGATATATAACTCCAGCAGCTTTCGAGAGAGGAGAGACTCCAGCAGAATCGGGATGGAAGTACTTGAAAACTCTGCTGTGTTTTGGAAAGCGTGAACTATTTGAAATTGGAGTCATATAATCATTTATTATGTATTGTCCTGTGGTTCTTGAAGATACAAGATGGACTTCACTTTTGTAAGGCTCGTCAAGTTTCAAGATATGCTGGATGATAACTGAGAAGCAGATATTAACGAGGTAAGTAATACTAGTTAGACTTCTCTTTGTCAAAGGTGACCGCCACTGAGCAGTATATTAATGTGAAAATGTTACCTGTTCAATCTGATAAGTCCTGAGTATCTTACATTTCGATTCATAGGATAATTTCACCAGTATTGAAGTCTATAAGAACATAGCATGCGAGCAAGCTCTCCTGGGCGCTCTGGCGGCGGTAATAAGAACAGAGCGTGTGTTCTTTTTGCTGTGATGTATCGGGGTCACTTTGTTCCTCGAGATATTCAGGTTGTTTAATAGCAATTATTGCACGAGCACGCGTTAGCCAACAAGGCACGAAGCGTTCGCCTCTTTGGTTATTTAACCATCACATGTTCTACAAGCGTGATAAAAAGGCCCGGCCCTAAAAATACTCTGACTTTATTTTGTTAAAACAAAACGGAAGAGAAAAGGGAAGTCCGCCTTTCACATGTCGCGGTCTCGGATTAAAACTGTCACATTTGTGTCATCGTGAACAGACTTAATGAATTAGAAATCAAAACATTACAGCGGTGAACGTTTCTTCAAACTTACCAGGAATCTAGGAAATTACTCAACTCAACAGCTGTAAAAAATCGATGATACAGTCGACTTCCCGATAACTCGAACCTCGAAGGGAAATCGAAAAAAGGTTCGAGTTAACGGGAGTTCGAATTATCGGGAGTTCGAAGAAAAAAGCCGAGAGTAAGGTAAAAAAACAGGTTTTACTGCACAATCACATGTCAAGTGAAAATTAAAAGATACTTCTAGCTTATAAATCAGAACGTAACGTAACAAAACATAGCCTAAATAGAGCATGCGTTTTACTGTTTTGAGAAGAAAATCTGCTTCACGTTAAACTATACTCCTACAACACGTTAATAGGAAATCCAAAATTCAATGTTTCGGACGCCCGTAGACGGCTTTTTTCCCGACTTTTTAAGGGCTCAAAACATGGTTCGAGTTATCGAGGGTAAAATTATATCGAAACTGAAAATGATCTGAGGGGAAACGAAAACTGGAATTGGTTCGAGTTAGCGGGAGTTCGAGTTATCGAGGGTTCGAGTCACCGAGGGTACTGAAAATTACAGTGAATGTATGACGGAAATCCAGGGGAAATCGATTTTGGTTCGATTTAGCGCGAGGTTCGAGTTAACGAGGGTTCGAGTTATCGGGAGTCGAGCGGACTGTAATATTAATGTGAACGAGTGCAGCTACAAAGTGAAATTCCCTTGGTCGTCATATACAGTAACTCGAGCAAAACTTGTTCATGAAGTTGTTTGTAGCCTTGCTAAACGAGAACAGAGTATATAACCTGATGCACGGATAATTGCTATTCATAGCCAGAGTTCATAGCCTGTATTTGCCGCCAGTTGCTTGTGGTCCATATTCTCTTCGGTTTTGTCAGATAAACATGCTGCAGATTAGTTTTTGCGAGTGGCCTGACGATAACGTAAAGCCGAGTTGCGAGGGTTTTTTACAAGTATTTTCATGCATTTTTCCTTGTCCCAGGGCTTCTCGGTTGCCTTTCCTTTTCGCATTCGTCAGAAAGCTTCCTAATCTGGTGTTCCTGTGGCACAAAGGCAGAAATTTTTCGAGCTATCACGGGCGACTGCAAATTAGCCGCCTCTATTAATTTTATCAGGGGCACCTCGGCCGGGAAACTGGACTCCTTTCTACTCGATTTCGTTCCCGTAATTTTTCCGTAAGTGACGAACGCGGATCCGTAATCAATGATTACCTCCAATTCTATCAATACCCTGTATTATTGCAGTCAGTTTACTGGATAAAGCAGACGTCTTCTAAATTTTTTCAACACTAGCTGGTTATGAAGAGTTACGGGGATTGAGCGAATCAGGTCAATCAGTCAAATCAGAAACGGAGTAAATATATTGAATGAATAATATTCCAAATGTATGACATAGTTATAAAAAATTATTGTCTTCAGTTATTCTTTGCAACCGTTCGCGTTATTTGTTCCCCTTAAAATCTTACGTAGCTACTTTTATAAATTCTTTGTTTGACTAAACAATTCTATGCTGAGGTCACACTAGGGGAAAAGTGATCTGGTCGGTATCAATCACTTCATTCAATTTACACTAAGCTTGTAGCGTTTCTGTATTTTCACATTGGATTGCTGGACTTAGAATTATTTCTATGCTGAGGTTACACCAGAAGTGATCTGATCGATATCATTAACTTAAGTTGAGTTAGACTAAGCTTGCAGCGTTTCCGTATTTTCACACACTTCATCATAGCAAGAAACCAAGGATTTGACCTGCAGTATGGTTCCATGGACTATCAATGGTAGTTTTCCTTTGGCCACTGCTGAGGCGAAGTCTTGGACGACACGTTTCAAGTTAACGGAGTGGCTTGTAACTGTGCCAAGTGCTTTCATATCTATCAATGCGATGATGATGTCAAAGTTCGTGCGTTCATTTGAATGCTTTGCGTTGTCAGGATAAGAAATCCACAACATTTCATCTGAATTCCAGTTCGAGGCTTTGGCAATAGCAGAACCGACAGCGTGCACTAGCTGGTTGTGTGTATCGTCCTCCGATCGCGAGACGGGACCATTGGTACGGCGACCTAATTGGTCTTTCTTTTCTATTCTTAATTTGGTTACTTTGACTACACGCCCTTTAACCAGCCATTTGAAGCACTTTCCAACTTGGCTTACGACACCACATTTTCTCCCTATGTTCCACAGTCCTTTGATGGATTCCCAGGCTAGCTGTATCCGAAGCAGTGAAAGATCCCTTGATGGTCCAGAAGATTTTGAAGTATTCATAGCAGCCGAGATCACAGATCGACGGGGCACCTTTACCGGGATTCAAGTAGCATGGCGTGTGAGAGGAAAAAGCTGTCTGTCTTATATTTCTACATGTTGGCGTAGTTGCAGAACGTAGCAAAGGTACCAAAACATCTTGGAGGCACTTGCGAACACCATCGATCCATTTTTGTCCGCTTGAACTGAATAAGGAGTATCGCTTGTTGTATATGTTGCAAAATTTCTCTGCATATCTTATCGCATAGGGACTGCTGCTAGATTCACACGGATACTTCTTCTCTAAGCATTCACGGTACCAGTCGCAAGATTTTCCAGATGGGGTGTAGCATTTTGCAGGTAAAGATGCGCCACCTCGCGATCGGGCCCATCCTTGATTTGCGAAGGCCAGCAAGACAAAAAATGACCACATCTCAAATCCGCTTATGGGATAAAAAAAGTCATAGTTAGAACAGTATCATTATTACTGTGAATAATGTGTATAATAACAGTGAGAATAGTAACCGATTTTATGAATCCATATTAAGGGGTCGACCATCATAACAGTTACAAGTGGGGGGGAGGGAATTTTTTAGGCCTTTGCATGAATATTTTTTAGGGTTATTTGGTGTGCAAGAATTTTTGTCATTTAATTTTCCCTTGCCCAAATATTTTTTTGTACTTAGCCCTAATGGTCTAATGGTCCGTCCCTAAAGGGAAAGGGCATAATGTTTGAGGTATGAAAGAAGCCGTAACATTGATAACCTGAGTCTTGACATCTCCATCTAAGTGGTCATAGCGAAGAGGAAATAAGAAGTCACTTACATTTACACACTTGCACCTCAGTAGAGGGAAAATTAGAATGTTGCCAAAGTTGAAAACAAGGTTTTTAGCAAGGTTTAGTAGATAAATTTGAACAAGCAAGACCATTAAATACGCCCAGACACAAAGAAAACCTTTATGTTGTAAAATACACTTACCTTTGAAAATCACTGTTTAGAGGCAGCTAAGACAACAATCACATTTGACCAAAATTCCTGACATATTGTAAGACAAATTTCTGTTTAAAAAGACAAAACGGAGCTAGCACAGCTAGAAACATATTTAAAAGAACTTTCAATTTCTAATCTATAATCAAAATATGAAATGAAACGTTTGATTATCGTATTCAGTCACGTGGTCAGCAGCTTTGCAAATTGCTTTGGGATTAGAAAGTTTTAACATGTGAAAAGAGTTTAATTCCCACAGGATTTTTTTGTACACAAACATGGCCGCCGATTCGTTGTTTTGTACACAAATATGGCCGCCAATTCATTGTTTTTTACACAAATATGGCCGCCGTGATGTCAGGTGAAAACGATCTATTGATTTCGATTGTTTCGTATGCAAACATGCAATCAAACAAAACTTAAAATAAACTGGAAAAGTCAACTTAGTTTCATTGCTGTTCTTTTCTTTCGGCCGTATTAACTGTGAATTAATTAAAAACCTACGTGTAATTTTAAACCGTTTCCCTCAAAAAAGGTGGTAAAAAATCAGTAATCATTCAGTGTAGGAAATCGATTGACTTGGATAAAAAAAATAGATAAAGAATAAAAAAGCGCTCATCAATCCTAAAGAAAAGATAAGTTATAATCAAGCAATCCTTTTGTACAGCATTAAACAAAACCAGTTCACGTAAATACCGAAAAGAAAACCTTTTTCTATGTTATACTACTATTTTACGAGTTTTTTAAACGAGATAAATTTTTGAGCGAACAGAAAAATGACTTGCATAGCCTTAAACATGCCCAACGACACAGTTGACCTAATAAAGCCATTTTTTCCCACCAGAAGGTGTGAAAGCCAAAGTTTGACTCCTATCAACACACTAACCAAAGTAGTACAGTGAAACCCGGCCTTACGGTCACCTCGTTATTACGGCCACTTTTTTTGGCCGCCTGGTAAAAACCGCCATACATTTTCCTGCACAAAAAACACTCGTTAATACGGCCACCCCGCTAATACCGGCAATTTTTTTTTGGCCCATTGGTGACGGTATTAACGGGGTTCCACTGTACAGTGATTGTACTAAGGTAAGTGTTATGAGAACTTTTTTGATCGGGTCTGTATTCAAAAACACAAAAACTACGTCAAAATTAGAGATTCGCTATTATGTCTTACTTTTAAGTAAGACATTAAACCAGCGTTAACGTTACTGGCTTACAAATGAGCTCAGATCATGCGGCGAATATTCAGCTTTTCATCGCTGAATACATTTGGCTCGAAAAGGCATTTAAGCTTTACTGTGAAGAAGAACGGCGAGAGGTAAGAATGTTTATGACAGTCAATCTCTGTGTTACCCCCGGACGTACAAGGAGGGTACGGGAGGGTTTTCCAGACCTTTTTTTCTTTTTAAAACGATTCCAAACCAGAACATCTTTTTAGTTATTGCTCAGATGTCTTTTGGCACAATTTGGAGGAAGATAATTGTTATAGTTACAAGATATGAAGTTAGATTGAGCTGTCCTTGGTGTCGTTTTTTTTTTTTTGGCGGAAATGTCACTGTCACACTATAAAAACTTGACCAAAACCGGCAGCCGTGCATGAAAAGCCTCCGGCATGCGCACCCAGGGTACTGATAGCAGTGTCGAAGTGCCGGCATGTAAGGTATGGTTATTCAAGCAACAAAGACGTGCAACTTGTCTGTTTTGCAACGTTGCTGCAGAACGAGTTAAAAAGCGGTGTTGTGTGTGTTACCACCCACCTGTCTTGCAACAAATCGGGTTGTTGCAGGTTGTGAAAAGTTACTGCAAAAGGAGAGAGTACTTGTACTTTTTACAACAATATCTGTACATGTTGCGTGTTTTACCAGCCCAAGGCAAACTTGTTTTAAAACAAGTGACCTAACTCCCGTGTATGGCGTGACTCCCGCGTAAATTTATCCTCCCCCAATCAGAAGTCAGTATTCACGCAACTTGTAGCAAACTTCATTTGTTGTAAGACAGGTTAGAACGTGGGTGTTAAAACGCAAAACATCACTTTTCAACACGTTCTAAAGCAATGCTGGAAAACACGTGTTTGTTTTTTCCTGTTTTGCTGTAGCTTTAGTGAATTCGAAGAAATCTGTTCATGCCATTAGAACAGCTTAAGGAGCACAGTTTAGTGTTGAATTTAATGATCAGATCGTACACCAGCGTTCAGTATTAATTTCACCAAGCAAACATGTTTATATTTTCCTTGCCTGTCGCCTTTATGAAAATTAAAAATAATAATAATAATAATAATAATAATAATAACAATAATAACAATAACAATAACAACAACGGAAAAATGAAGACTCGTACATGAGCAGACTAAAGTTACTCCTGAAGTCTAAGCTCAGCTGTCGTAATTTACTCATGGCGTCAAACACGTGGGCAATAGCAGTGGTGAGATATGGCGAGGGCGTTATTGGTTGGACCAAGTTAGAACTGGACGAGATGGGCAGGAATACCAGGCAACTTTTGATACAGCGTAGTGGTGCAAGGAGGGAACTTGACAAGATCAATAACTGCTCGAAGCTGAGAGTAGAAATTGCTAGAGTAGGGAACACGGAGACAGAAGTAGTTCCTGAGGTGATTGCTGCCCTTGGCTCTACTCCTAAGAATCTGTATCGCCACCTTGAAAGTCTCGGGATTAGAGTGCATTTCTCGACGTTGCAGTAATCAGCACTGCTTGGTACAGCTAATGCGCTTTCTGTCTGAGCTCATTGACTTGACAGAGATAATAATTTATGACAAGAGCTCCAGCACCAACGTTTACTGCGAGAAATAAATACGTAAGTAAGTAATAATTATAAAAGGAAATTATAATTATCATAAAAATTATCCCAGAATCCTGTGAGACAATTTTTTAAAAAAGCTTTATAACTTTGACAATTTTATACGTAGAAGACTGACAGACCACAACAAGATAACATTTGCCACGAAATATCTTCTCATGTCACATCTAGGGTTATTACGTTATCAGTCACGTGACCATTGCTGAATTAGGGCTTTTTGTTGCTGTGACAAGATTTCATTATTGGGTTAAAATAAAATAGCATATTTGAGGTTTTGGTTGTGTGGAGCATTTAAAAATAACCAGTTAAGGGGGTAATGAACATCAGCGAAAAAGTCGCGAGACTAGGCCGAGGGCTGTAGAGAGTCAACCTTTTAACACACGGCAGAGAATATTTGCAGGAAAGTAATGTTCTACCTGATAATTTTTTTCATTACCAAAGAGGGACATGACGTCATCAGTCGCGTGATCAAAGCGTTTTGAATGTTTTAGTTCGCTTTTAAAGTACCTTTTTTGTCTTAAATTGGCAAGTTTTTGTTGTTTTTCTCAACAATTCTTTACACTGTGTTGTCTCATTATTATTTCATTTTAGCCTGTGTACAGACGTCCCTTCTCCTTCAGGAAAAATCGGGAGAAGAGACGTCTGTGAATCGCCGTCGTTAATCGTTTTCCGGTATACATTGGCATAAATTAATTTTTTGTTCTTTCGCTGACAGTTGAAAAGGCACATGTAGGTCGAAAAATAGCTCTGGCGTCTGTGTACAGGCTAGCCGAACATCTTCATGCAATGTCCGCCCAAAATCCAGATATAAGATCTCTGATTACAGTCAAGCCAGGTCAAGCGTGCCTCCCAAGATCCCATTAATGTATTTACTATTCGAAAGTTCTGAAAGTTGAACCGTTGGTAGTTGTAGATTTCAGATTCATCTCTGTGTGCATTCTTGCATGCGTAATAAGCCGTGAATTCACACGCGATTCAGTTACGAAATTTCTACCAGCTCCGTTTACCTGAATTTGATGTAAATGTCTTCTAAGACATTTAATCCATTCAAAGATTTTCAATTTGACCAAATGCAGAGAAGTTCTCTTAAAATATTCACTGCTCATTACGCATAGAGGAATACCGATTTAAATTTGACACCAGTTACGGGAACGACTAACAGATTCATTTTCTTCAAATAATCAATTCATTAATAGAATCTTTTTGGGGTAAATACCGTCCG